GGAAAAATATCTAAAGGACAGTGAAGAAGATGCACTGAAGCTAGTATACCATGAAGGTTTACTGAATACCAAAGAAACCGAACTGGCCAATAAGAAAGACCAAATGAAGAATAGAAAAGAGACATGGCAAGGCAAAGTATCCCATGGCCAGTACACAAAAAAACTAGCAGGCAAAGCAGATAACATGACCTAGCAATGGCTAAGAGCAGGAAAGTTGAAGAAAGAGGCAAAGAGGCTAATTCTGGCTGCACAAGGCCAAGCCTTAAGAACAAATGCATATAAAGCCAGAAACAGACAGCAAATGCCGTTTCTGCAAAGAAACTGAAGAAACAGGGGACCACCTGGTTAGCTGCTGCAAAAAGACCACATAGACTGACTACAAACAATGGCATGACAAAGTACCAATAATGGTGCATTGGAATATCTGCAAGAAATAACATTTGCCTGCAAGCAAGAACTGGTGGGACCACAAAACAGACAAAGTCATAGAAAATGAAGAAGCTAAAGACTTTAAAATTCAAACAGACAAGCACCTGCCACACAACACCCCAGACTTAACAATTGTTGATAAGAAAGGCAAAAAAGTCTGGATAGTGCACATTGCAATACCTGGAGACAGCAGAATAGAAGAGAAAAAATAGGAGAAAATCACAAAATACAAATAGAAATAGAACAACTGTGCCAAAAGAAAGCAAAGATAGTACCAGTAGTAATAGGTGCCTTACATGCAATCCCAAAACATCCGGAGCACTACTTGAAGATCATCAGCATTGACAAAATCACCAGCAGTCAATTGCAAAAGGCAGCTTTACTTGGAACAGCTTACAACCTTTAACACCATCAAACAACAACATCTGCCTATCCCAGGTCCTTGGGAAGGACTTGATTGGTGGATAAAAATGCAAAATCCAGTCTAAACACCTGGCTGACTGTGTGACCAATAGTAATAATAATATCATAGGCAGTTTGAAGGAGAATTTCCATGGAAAATAAAACTGACAAAATATATGAGACAACTACTAACTAGGCCTAGGGTTTAGAAAGGGCAGGAAAAAACAATTGTGAGGATAATAATGTGGTAGTCATGGTAACAGCTAAAGGAACAAGGCTGATAGATGCAACTTCAGTCCAAAGTGTGTACAACAGGTTGATGACATGAGGACAGAGAGAAGGAAATTGAATTGAACACTCAGGCACATCCATTTGCATTTTCCAATGTGACTGATATGACTAAGGACCCATGTGGGTCTTCATTTTAGGATTCTCTATACTTGTTTTACAATTGTGTCATTACATTCTGTCTTCTTTTTAAAACATCCAATTATCCATATTCCATTCCAAGGCTAACAGTAAACATAATTTATTATATATCCTGAGAGGCTAACTCCACCAATTCCCTATCAATGGACCATCAACCCAAATATCCAGTCCTGCAGTCTTTGCATTTCTGAATTACATTAGTAGACTCAATATAATTTGAATTAATTTATTATTTTAATTGATGAAAACTCTTTGAATAAAAATCATTCCTGATTCA